GATGTCACCCTCAGTCGCATGCTCTGTGGAAGCTTCACTCTGCAGCTGCCTCCCTCCTCCCAGCTGCCTCTCTCCCTCTCTGTCAAATGCCACCTTGAGTGTGAACCATGACCAGTCTCCCATCTGTTCAAAATGAGGAAATATTGAATAGATCTGGCCTAAGATGGAAGAAAAGGTCATGAAAAGGTCTAGAAGTGCGGCAAATAACATCGGCCTGCCTCTGCTTGGTGAGCCAGAAACCAGGCGTTTGGGGATGGGGCTTGTAATTCTCAGCAGCTGTGGGGCCTTTGCCTTGAAACCAGTGTCCTGTCAGCAGACTTGTGGTGATAAGAGAATGTGGTCAAGCCCCACGTGTCAGGATGGCTGACACATGGCTCAGCCTGGGGACCTCGTTTCAGAGGACTTGGCTCGCTCTTGTTAACGCTGGCTCCTGACTGGAAGCATCTGAAGTTTGACTTTCACAGACTCTCTTTCTCCTCCACAATAATGATGGCAAACATGAATTGATCCCAGGTGTGGCTCAGAGTTCGCCTGTTCAGAGACATGCGCCGACTCTCTCAGGCCTCAGTGTGAGCCTGACAGGTTGTTGCCTTTTCCAGACGAGGAAACTAAAACTGAGAGTATTAAATGATGTGTCCGAGATCACACAGCTGCCGTGAGTGCAGACACAATTCCCACCCAAGCTGCCTTTGACGTTAGAAGTGAATGCATCGAGGACATGGGTATAGCTCAGGGAGGTAGCGAACATGCCTTGGAGTGTGAGACTGTGGGTTTGATCCCAGGCTCTGCGTGAACCCAGAACACCACCATGTATATGCCTGGGGCCACTCCCAGCACCTGAAGCAATAGCAACCACCAGAATAATAAATGAAAATAAATGACTGCATCTAAGCAATACCTTTTATTCAGTGTTAGCTGTGCCTTTTGCACATTGCCTAAATCAAACTACCAATATTTTACATTATGAGCACTGGTCAGAAGGAACAAAGGCATTGCCAATCATCGTACTCATTCGTTTATTCATTCCTCATTCTTTCAAGATGAATAAATAAGCTCGGCAAGACTCTGGGGTCCCTGCGGGGGCCAGGCCTTCTTCCGGGTGCATTTCCCATTCCCCTTTGCCCTCAGGACACAGCTCAGGCAAGCGCAGCAGGTACAGCTCGGATTCATGACGCTGTTGGTTTTGAATTTATTTTTGGTCCTTTCATATTCAGAAACCTTTTAGTCAGGTCAAAATTTTTGCAACCCTTACCTCCCGCTATATGACCCCAGTGGAGTGACTAACACAGCTGGAGCAGCGAGGCCACTCGTTAGCTGTTGCACTTGGATGGATATGCCACACGGAGGTGGGGAGGCCACAGAATTCATCCCAGGATGGTGTGAGTGAGCCACTGGAAGGGAAAGGGGTCAGGTCAAAGGAGCCAGCATGAGTGCACAGAGGGCGGGGCGCTTGCCCTGTAGGCAGCCAACCTGGCTTCAATCTCCAGCATCCCATATGGTCCTGAATATTGTCAAGAGTAATTCCTGAGAGCAGGGCCAGGATTAACCCCTGAGCATCGCCACTTGTGGCCCCCACACAAAGAAGAGATCCATCTGTGTTGACCGCCCCCCCCACACACACACACAACACACACTGGAACTGACATCTCCCCTGGCTATTCCTTACAGTGCTAGCACTCCAGGGGTATGTGGCCTCAGCAGACCTTTCCCCTCATCTGTCATTTGCAGATAATCAGAGCACCTGTATCACGGGATGGAAGTGAGGATTCAAATGTTATCACATATAATGGGAAAAGGAAGCACGTGATGAACAAAGCCACGAACAATAACAGTACCTCTGTCACTGTCACTGTCCCCCCGTTGTTCATCAGTTTTCTCAAGCGGGCCCAGTAATGTCCCCATTGTGAGAGTTTGTTGTTACTGTGTTTGGCATATCGAATACGTCACAGGGAGCTTGCCAGGCTCTGCCGTGCGGGTGCGGGCGAGATACTCTCAGTAGCTTGCCGTGCTCTTTGAGAGGGGCGGAGAAATCGAACTTGGGTCGGCCGTGTTGGCTGCGTGCAAGGCAAACGCCCTACCTGCTGTGCTATCGCTCCAGCCCTCAGTGATTATTTTTTGTTTAGGGCCACACCCAGAGGTGCTCGGGGATTACTCCTGACTTGGCACACAGAGATCACTACTGGTGGGTTTGGGGGACCCTATGTGGTGCTGGGATTGCGCCCAGGTTGGATGCATACAAAGCAAGCACCCAACCCACTGTACTATCTCTCCAGCCCTCAGTGATTGTGTTTAGTACCCTTACTGCTATGAATTAGTAGTGGCTAAAACTAACAGTAGCTAGCGCTAGTTGCTTGTTTGCTATTGTTATTGTTTTCGAGGTGATGGTGGTCACCTCAGGGGATATGTTGGAGGTGACAGGCCAGAGGTCACAGAGTCCATGCAGCAGCCACCATAACCCCTCATCCAAATCAGACCTCGTGGGGCTTTGCCCACCAGCCAGATGTCAGCTTACAGAGTCATCATCTGCCTTTATTTTCAGAGAAAAAGAATTAAATTGGCGGTATCACAGCATGTGGCTCTTCATGCAATCATGTGGTTTTGTGAATCTTATTCCCGTTGTGTATGTGTAAGCACACTCCCTCACATCAAAGACAGGTAACAGCACAAGATGTTTTCAGAAGAGGTGCTGTAGTTAGTCAGCTGTGGTCAGGAGGCCCTCCTCCCCATCCCGGTCAGCTGTGGTCAGGAGGCTTGTGCCACAGTGGGGCGCTCAGAGCCCTGGGTTTGGGCCTGAGTGAAAGTAGCCCAGTTCTGCGGCTCCTGTCCCTTGGGCATTAGCTTCCATTTGGAGAGCTGGTCCCCAAAGTGCCACTTATCTGTCTTGATTGACACTAGTTCCCACCCTGAGCCATCTCCGGCTTCTATTAATGTCATCTTAGTCACTGATGCACCTTATGGCCTCGGGCAGAAGAGACGGTCTGGCTTTGGGTCAAGGTTTCTCCCTTTATGAAATGAGGGTGAAGGCTAGAGAGAGCTCACAGGAATAGGGTGGGCGCTTTACCCGTTGGAGCCCCAGGTTCAAGCCCCTGGTCCCCTGAGCAGCACCAGGAATGGGCCCAAGGCAACCCCCACACGCCCCCAAGATGGGGGTGAAATAGTTGTCTTATGTGCTTCGTGGCTGTTATGAGGCGTGAAGGAAACCACACATATTTTCCATCTGTGCCATGAGGAACCATCTGAACTCCATGAAGTCATGGACAAAACGCTAGAGTAAACCCGCTGGGTCCTTGACAAATGCCCAGAATGCTCACCAGTGACCCTAGCCATCCCCAGGCCACGCTGAGGGATAGGGCTGCCCAGCTAAGAGTCGTGGGCTCGTCCACATGGATCTCAAGCTCTTCTTAGCACAGCTGAGTCAGCACCAGAGCAAAGCTCAACTGTGAGCTTGAGCGGACCTCTCAAGACCTTGGGAGAAGAGAGAGCATCCTGCTGGCGAGAGACAGCTCAGAGGTACATGAGCAAAGGCAGAACTTGGAAGCCACAAGCCCTCGGGCCCAGATGGACTCATCAGTGTGTTATATGTGGCCTGCAAAATATTTTTATTTATTTATCTTTTTAATTATACGGGGTAGCATTTAAAAATCATACACATTCACTCCAAGTCCAGATTCTAGCTTGTCTTAGAATTTACTGGATTGCCGCTGCCCTCCTCCCCAGAGGCACCCCCAGGCACAGAGCACCCCCACCGCCTCGGAGAAGCCCACTCTCCCCTTAGCCTCCCCTGCTGAAACTCAAGACTTGGGCCTCCATGTGGATCACAGACCTTGCTCTGTCATCGCTCTGATAGGAAAGTCGCACAGTGGAAGCCCATGTGGCTCAGAGAATGGAAACAATGAAAAGAAGATTCCAGAAGGTCTCTGTATCAAAAAAAAGAAAGACAAAAAAAACCCACAAAGAACTCTCGTACTCTGTGGGGGAGAATCTTGGGGCCCTGGGGCTGGGGGCCGGGCTGTGTTTTCTGCTTCTGAGCCAAACGACGGTGTGTGGAAGGGTCCGGGGTGTGCTCACAGCTTCGAGCTTTCCCAGGATGTCAGTGGGGCAAGAGCATCAGTGGGGGGAAGAGGGCATGTAGCCAGGGGATGAGCTGCTCTGCCATGGACCCCAGCAGTGCCCAGAGCCGGGGCCAGAGCAGGGAAAAGACTGCAGATGAGACTCTGGGAGGGACCGTGGTCAGCACCACCTGGCTGGAAGGACATGTTGGGGGCTGTGAGGTGGGGTGGGGTCTCCACGGGCCATGCAGGAGGGAAGAAGCACAGTGACGGGTTCAGATCTGCCTCAGTTATCACCCCGTGGGCAGGGGGAGGCTCTGAAGCTGAGTTTTCTCCTCTGCCAGGTAGGGACTTGGCCTCTGTCCCATGGGGTCAAGCACCCTGGCTGTGCCCGGGGCCACTCCCGGAGCTGGCTCAGGGCAGGGGCCATAAAGCAGGTGAGGCCCGGCCCCGGGGAGCTAGCTCACAGGGGAGGGATGGAGATGGGTGTGGCTGCCTTGTTCTACCCCATAACTCATCACCCTCCAAGCCTGGGGATGGCGGAGCAGGTTGGGACCTGCGGGGCGTTTGACGAGGGGTTGGTTGGGGCGTGCCCAGGTCTCTGCCGGCCTGGAGCAAAGCCGTTGATTTCACAAATGTCAGAGCAGCTCCTGGTCTGCATCACGCCCTATGCTAGCAGACACCAGCTCCAGGCTTGGAGGGTAGCAAACCCTGGCCCCCTGCCTGGAGGAGGTGCTGAGCTGCCGGGTCCTTCTTGATTTTGTGTATTGACGGTGATGCATAAAAGCTGCATCAGGACTGACTCCTGGCCCTGTGCTCAGGACTGACTCCTGGCCCTGTGCTCAGGACTCCCTCCTGCACAGCGAGCACGCAGCCCATCTCTGAGACCCTGTGGCAGCCCCCCTCTGCGCCCCTCCTCATGCCTCTCTGCTCTGCCCATTCCAGCTGCGGCCAGCATGGACGTCAAGGAGAGGAAGCCCTACCGCTCGCTGACCAGGCGCCGAGATGCCGCCGAGCGCCGCCACACGGGCTCGTCAGCTGACAGCGAGGAGGGCAAGGCCCCGCACAAGTCCTACAGCTCCAGCGAGACGCTCAAGGCCTACGACCAGGACGCACGTCTGGCCTACGGCGGCGGCGGGCGTGTGCCCGAGTTGGTGCCACATGAGGCCGAGTTTGGCCGTGCAGGTGAGGGCAGGGGGCGGGCACAAGGGCGGGCACCCTGGGCCCCCAGAACCCAGCACCACCCTCCTCACACGAGGACATGAGGGGCTGTTGGGGTCATCTGCCCCAGCTCCCCGAGAGCCCAGTGGCCCTGCAGAGCTGGAGGACGAGGGGACGGTCTCCTGGGGTGGGAAATGGAAGTGGGCCGACATCAGAGGCTGCACAGGACTCGTTCCTGGTGCTCTTATTCTTCATCTGTGATTCATTCAACAAACATGCTGTAGCAGCTTCTGGGTGCCGACTCTGACCTTGGGAAATGGAAGTGGGCCGACATCAGAGGCTGCACAGGGCTCGTTCCTGGTGCTCTTATTCTTCATCTGTGATTCATTCAACAAACATGCTGTAGCAGCTTCTGGGTGCCGACTCTGACCTGACCGGGAGGGAAAGATGCGTCTGGGACAGTCAGACCTAAAAACCTGAGAGACCACAGGCTGGAGAGATAACCCAGTGGGCAGGGTGCTCACCTCGCATGCAGCTAACCTTGGTTCAACCCCCAGCATCCCATGTGGGCCCCTGAGCACTGAGCCAGGAGTAAACCCTGAGCACTGCCAGGTAAGGCCCTGAAACAAAGCGTTAGAAGCGTATCCAGCACCTGCTTCCCTCACATTCACTTCCTGCACACAGCTGTCAGCAGTGCACCCCCACCCTGCTCTGGAAACCTGGCCAGCATACCCCACGGCTCCCTGCCTGCTGCCCCCGACTGCCATGGCCCTCTGCCCGGTGCTGCTCCCTATGGGTCATTCGATGCACTGCAGCTGGAATGAACCAGCTCAACATTAACCGAGTACCTTCCCCTGCCCAGAGCACGCTTTCAGACCTGCCCTGTTTCATTCCCCAACACGTCTCTGCACCCACGCTCTGCTCCTGCTCACTCACCAGCCCTTCTGGTTCCTGCCCTGAAGCCTGTGTGGTGCTTGTTTGGTGCTGGCAGAGCCCGAGTCCTGGATGAGGTCAGCTGGCTACTCCCAGCCCCTGAGCATCCCTGCTCTGCGTTCCTCTGTCCCTGCCCAGATGGGCTGTGCTTTGTGTCCTTGGTTGACTGCTGTTTGATCCCTACAAGCAGCCCAGATGCACCGTTTGTTCACCATTTGCATCCATATCTAGACACACCTCATCCGGCTGGGGCAGGAGCACTGTTGACCCATTGGCACAGTCAGGGGTGATCTCTGAGCACAGAGCCAGGAGTCATCCCTGAGCACCTAAACCAAAAGCAAACAAAACCTCTGGACGGCACGCACAGCTCTTTGCTCCTTCCAGACTCTCAGCTGGGAACTCCAGCCCTGGCCTCTGCCAGGAGGGGTCCTGAATCCTGGCCTTCTCACCTGGGCAGTGGAGACGTGATGCCCCTGATCATGGGGTGTCCTGAGGATGAATGAGGACTCCAGAGCACTGGAGCAGGGCTTGGCCCCGAGCAGATGCTACAAGCATCTCCTTTCTCCAGCTGCCACCTGTGGGTCTCCATGACTTGGAGAGGAAAAAGTGGCCTCAGCACACCCTTGGCTCTGTTCAATTGTTGCTTGGCTCAGCCCGGCAGACGCTGACAAGGCCATCCTAGTCCTAGAACCCACGGAGCGGCCACTTCTCGCCCTCAGAATAGCCCGTGAGCCTGAGCACAGCCTGCAACACCAGGTGCGGGGGACAAAGCATTCACCCAATGACTCCCTCCACCCTCCCCATGTTATCAGCCTTTCACTCGACTACTGTTGCTATTCCTGCAAGGGGAGCTCCTGGGTGGGCTCAGGAAGCCCAGGGCCCTGCCCAGCAATTCTCCAGCGCCAGGCTGGTGGTCTGGTGCTCAAGTCCTGCAGTGTCGAGGGAACAGAGACACCCTGGCAGTGCTCAGAAATGTCCCGGGTTGCTTCCAGTGACGCTGGGGGACTGAGGATCTCTGGGGTGCCTGAGAAAAGATTGGGACCAGTGTGCCAGGGATTCACCTTAGCACCTGCACCCTCTCTCCTGACCCATCATCGCCTTCCTAGATGAAAGAACAGCAAGAGTGAAGGGAGGGGGTGGGGTGGGGGTGCTCTGGCCAAGATCACAGGGCTGGGTGTTGGGTCGGGAGGGCCGTCCCTCCCAGAGAACAGAGAGCAGAGGGGCAGCAGGGTGGACTGCGCCCTTCCAGTCCTTCCCGCCCTTGCCCTGCTGCAGTCCTGAGCCATCACTATGCCTGCGAAGACCCCAGAGACTGTCTGCATGGGGCGGGGGGTAGCGGCAGTCAGGCCCCCCTGAGCATCCTCGCAGCCCGGCAATTTCTGCACATGCCTTTGATTTGTCCTGAACGTGGGGCTTGTTCCTTGGGAAGTGTGACTAGCCTCCCTGGAGAGCCAGGACATCGGCTAGGGACAAGCCAGGGGTGTGTAGAAAGGAGGGCAGAGGCGGGTGCGCAGACAGGGGCATCGCTGAAGATTGAAGTTCCCATCAGAGTGTCCTCTGTGGAGGAGCAGAGCTAAAGAGAAGGTCTGACTTGAATACGGTGCCGGAGGTAGAAATCAAGAACCCCCATCTCTACAAGAGAAGGCACCGAGCAGAGGCTGACCCTGAAGAGGGTCCCCCGACCCCCACCAGGGGTGATCACTGAGCACAGAGCCAAGACTCAGCCCTGAGCACCAGCAGATGTGGCCTAATCCCTACTGCCCAAAAAGCCGCAATCTGGCCTGGCCCAGATGTTGGCCGCTGCATGGAGCTGAGCCAGCCGCCAGCCTGGCCGTGGGAACAGGGACGAGGGCTCCTAGGGGGGAGGGGGACGCTTGTGAGGAAGGGGCTGCCGGAGGCAGAGGAGAGGGAGCATACTTACTGGGCGTGAGGAGACTCCAGGACCTCCCTGTTACTGGCCAGCAGGGACTGATCTCAGGCAGTGGCCGCAGCACCCCCTCATCCCCGGGCCGGTGTTGGAATTCTGCAGCGGCCACTCAGCAGGTTCAGGGGGTCCCGACTCTGCCCCCCCCCAGTTCTCTCCATCTCCCAGGGGCGTCCATCTGTGAGACTCCCTCCCCGCAGCCTCTGCTCTGTGCCCTGTGGGAACTACGGAGTGCTCTGGGGCACTCAGTGCCCCTGCTCCTGCTGAGACCTGGCCCATGTCCCCGCCTCCCACCCTCACCCCTGTCTGTGGGATTGCCTCCCCAGCTGGACCCGGTGAGCACTGCAGATGCAGACGCCAGCCTTGGCTCCCCGCTGCCCCTCGGGAAAGGCCAGGCCAGCTGGAGTAGAGTGTTTCCTGACTGCGAGTCCTTTTGCCAGGCTTGTGCTGGCCTGCCCGCCCATCTCCCTCACACCCAGGGCTCTAGTGGGGGCTGTTAGACATGTAGGCTGTTAGACTGTCTGCATGGGGCGGGGGGTAACGGCAGTCAGGCCCCCTGAGCATCCTCTCAGCCCGGCAACTTCTGAGGACAGGGGCGAGGACGTGCCTGCCCCCAGCCCCAGCATCACTGGCATCCTGAGCCTCACTGGTCTGAGGGATGCCCCAGGCCCCCAGCAGCACCATATCCTCAGGTCTGGCATAGCTGTCCCATCTGGTTATCTACGATGCTCAGGAGTGGCCCTCAGCCCCCGCCCCCAGCCAGCACCATTTGAGAGATTCTTCCCCGACCCCCAGCGGAAGACCCTGGAAGGTCAACCGGCCTGCAGGGACTTCGACCTTGACTGTGCCAAGCAGGTGGGATGCCCCACAGCAAACTAACCCGGCTCCCTGCACTTTCCCCAGGAGCCAACTTCAGCCTGCGGGAGCTGGGGCTGGGCGAGGTGACGCCCCCCCACGGGAGCCTATACAGAACCGACGTGGGCCTCCCCCACTGCGGCTATGCCCTGGGCGCCAGCCCCGACGCCGAGCTGTCCCCCGAGCACCCTGCCCGCCTGTGGGGCCGCAGCATGCGGTCGGGACGCAGCTCCTGCCTGTCCAGCCGGGCCAACTCCAACCTCACGCTGACCGACACGGAGCACGAGAACACGGAGACCGGTGAGTGCCGGTGGGCGCTGGGGCTCATGCCGTGGACGGGACACTGCCATGTGACTGTGGGCGCCGGGGCAGTGGCCGGGGAGCCCCCACAGGGACGGGTTCGGACAGTGCCTGCAGGGCCGCTGCTCTCCAGGTGGATGCCCGAGACTGTGTCTCTATCCTCAGGGCTCCGTGTCCACGGTGCTGGCCTGGGCAGTTGGCACGCCCTGCGCATGTGTGTGTGGGAAATGGGGGGTGTGGTATAGGCTCGGCTTCACTCTGTGACCTCTTCTGCAGACGTGGAGGCCAGAGAGATGCACACAGGCCTTGGCGCTCTTTCCCACATGGGCGCCAGTGCCTGCCCACTACAGGTTTCTTTGGCGGGGCGCGGGGGAGCTCTGAGCTGCCGGTCAGCCAGCCCTGCAGCAGGCCACTCACTTGCACAGGTCTCTCTTCCCTGGTGTCTGGAGTCCCCCAGACTGGACAGCCACTCAGCCGGGTACCAGCCCTGTCCTGCCCCGCTGGATCTGGCTGGCAGTGAGGATGGAGAGAGGGTGGCAGAGGGCTGGCAGAACCTTGCTGGGGAAATGGAGGCGCCAAGCCAGCACCCTCACCACTGCTCTCCAGGGACTCCCTGATCCCCCTGACCCCAGTACCCTGGGGTCCCTGCAGGCATAGGCAGGCCACAGAAGGTGGGTCAGTGGGCCATGGAGCACTGTGTCCTTGAGCACTCTGACGTGACCGAGCTCTAGGCTGTGACCTCAGTCACTCCTCCCTGCCCCACACACTGGGGTGCCCCAGGGTCTCCCCCACCCCCGGGCGCACACAGGCCACCTCATGGACTCCCTCACCGACTCGGAGGTGGGCCCGGATAAGGTGGAGCACTTCAGACCTTAGTTTTATCTAAGGAATGAGAGTCCTAGGAAATCAGCACTTCCTGTCTCCCGTGTTCTTAGATCAGGTTGGGGAGAATGGCCCCATGGCCAGCTCACACAGGAAATAGGAAACATGCCCCTGGACGCACAAGGCCCATTTCTTTCTCGCAGGACTTCACAGAGCCTTTAATCCATTCCTCTGTGTGCCATGGTTGGGGGGTATGGAGCGGAATTCCCAGGACACCCCTCGCAGAGTCAGTGTGAGACCCTTTATGCCCAAAGCCTCTGGAGAGCAAGCGTGCCCGAGATGGCTCCTTCAGAGCGGGGAGCTGAAGGTGCTGCAGGTTTGGTGCCAGGAGTCGGTGATTCTCAGTGTCCGTGTCGAGGTGAAGAGGCAATGGGAGCCCTAACAGCATTAATCCTGCGGCCCATCCTGAGACCTTCCCAAACAGAGTGCAGAGTTTCCGTGAGCTGTTCTCTCTTCCACTTTCTCCCCCACAATCCTCTGAGATTGGTTTTATTGTTATTCTCATACCAAATCCTCATTCTCATCACCTCCACCCAGAGAGGGTGAGAAGCCCACCCGGGTCACACAGCCAGCAAGAATGGGGTTGAACTCAGGCCTCTCTGCCCCTGAACATCCTCATTCCTCGAGTGCTTGGGCGCATGGAGCCCACCCCAGCAGAGCCCTTGGGTGGTCTGTTCTTCTGAAGACTCTCACCGCGGTGACGGATGAGCCCTTTGCAGACAGCATTGGAGAGTGGGGTGTGGTCGTCCCCCAATATCGTCTGCTCTCTGAGGGCTGAGTGCCCGATGGGGGCAGCCACTGCAGATGAGAGTGACACTGGCCCGGCATGTCGGCCTTCAGAACGGCAGCAGCCCAGCCCCACACCCTCTGGGCCCGCTGTGCTGGGACAGGGAGCATGCTCAGAGAACTGTTCAGAGATGGAGCAGAGTCCCCTGAGGCCTGGACTCCTGCATCCGAACCGCTCACACAGCCTACGTGCTCGTCCACATGATCATCCACCCAATTGCCCCGTGCTTGCCCATTATTTGTTCATCTGCTTGTCCCGCACTCCCAGGAAACACATGATCTGCAGCTTTGTTGCCCTGGGTCTAAGCAGTGAATGACCCTGGTGATGGGTGATGCCCTGTGACCCTTAGGTCACGGGCAGCATTCCTACCCTCATCTGAGGACTGAAGACTGAGGTCCGGCTGGGGCAGGCTCCCTCTTCTCCTTTTGCCAGGTCCTCTCCTACCTGCTGTCCTTCCCTACCCTCTCCTCTCTCTCTCCAATGCTCCTGGCTCTTGGCCACACTCTCTTCTCTTTCTTTGGTGAGGATGTGACCTTCCACTTTCCAGCAGGCCACATGGCCAGCACGGCCATGGAGATCCAGACCCGGCGCCACCAGGGGTCCAACCAGGTGCTTGTGTGATGGCTTTTAATCCTTGTGACACCCCCAGACCCACCCCTTCTGGTGGTAACCGGCCCAGACAGGGTCCTCTGCTATGCCAGCAGTGGTACAACTTGCAGGTGTACCAAACCCACCTCCAGCTCCTGGCTCTCTGATCCCTTAGTCTGACCCCAGAGCCCATTTCTATCCGTCATCCTGAGGGCTGGCCTCTCCACAGAGCTCCCCCCTCCCCACATTCCCCCTGAGTTCTGAGATACTCCCCAACTGGGAGCACAAAGCTTCCTGTGCTCCACTCCCCAGACACCCTCACACTACTGGCTCCATGTCTGCATTGGGGCCTGGCATTAGTCCCCAGTCGTTGTCACCAGTATTGATAGTGGTGGAAGGCTTTGCTGAGGTCACGGTGACGCTGCATGCAGCTGCCATCAATAATTACTTTTATGGGGTCCATTAAAACCAATTTCTGCCCCTGGAGGTTAATGTCAGCAGCTTTTATGTCACTGCTTAATATCCAGAATAAATACAGAATTGACTGGGTAATGTAAACACAAAGCTTCCTCCCTGCGCCGGCAGGCAGAGCAAAAGCCAGAGGGCTCAGCTGTCAAGGCAGCCCTGCAGGGGAGGGGCTGGGAGAGTGCAGGGGGGGTGGGGGCTGGGGGGGACAGCGTGGGGTCTGGGCCTGCCGCCAGGCACGCAGTTGGCACCCATCGAATGTATTTTAGAAAGCAGAGGTTGCAGCTGAGTTCCTTCCCCGCCGCGGGGGGAGCTGGCAGCATCTCCTAAGGAGGTTTGTCCTGCCGTGTGTACTGGAAGATGGCAGCCTCTTCCACACAGTTGCATATCCCAGGCGGAGCCCATGCAGGGGAAGCCTGACAGGGAGTGCTGGCAAGGTCCGAACACACACGTCTGCCCTAGAGCACAGGGTGCAGCCTGGGCCCGCTGGTGTACTGTGGCGGCATTAGCTGGAACCTCCCCCAGGCAGGGTGCTCATCCTCTGGTGCTGAGGAACTTGTTTCTGACTCAGGAGTTACTTGGCACCAAAAAATTTTTTAAATTCTTTTGAGGAGTATCTATATTGTTTTCCCAGAAAGGATGAACCAGTCAGTATTCCCCCTAGCAGCGGACAAGGTTCTCTTTTACCTGCCGTGACTGGATAGAGAAACTACAGCAGATACACACAGTGGAATACTTCTTGGCTGTAAGAAAAGATGAAATCATGCAATGTCCTGCCACGTGGGTGGATCTGGAGAGTATCAGGCTGAGTGAAGTGGTCAGCGGAAGGGGGACGGACAGAATGATCTTTCTATAAAGAAACGCGGGGGCGGGGATTAACAGTTGTGCAGAGGCAGTAGAAATTGAGACGTGGTCTACGGTAGGAGGGAGGGATAGGAAAGGGGGTAGATAGAATGGTAGGGAGGGGGTTACCCCCGAAAAGTAGTGGAGGGAAACAGACCGGGGGTGGGGGGAGAGGGAGGTGCTGGAATGATTTGGGCAAGGCCCCACCCGCAAGCATTATCAATATTGTAAACCACAGTGCCAAAAATAGAATAAATTTAAAACAAAACAAGTAAGAGACCAGTGGGGCACAAGGATCTGCTCTTTAAACCCAGCGGTGCCGTGTCCCCATGCTGAGCACTTGGGCACTTGTCAGAGCCTCAGTCTCCTGGGAGGGGGGGTGAGGATTTAGAGTCTAAAGTGCAGAAGCCCCACGTGAGATGATGAGTTCCCAGGGTGGTGGGGGGCCTGGTCGGTGGTGGCTCAACCTTGCAGTGCTCTGGGAGACACCCGGAGGGCTGCAAAAGGGTCGCCCCGATCTCCCCTCTGTGATGTTAAGTGCGAGCACCTCGGTGGGTCTACCCTGTGACGGTGTGGGAGGGCTGGTGCGCTGGCCCTTCACCCAGCTCTCCACTCTCTCCACTTGTGTGAGGGCTTCCAAGGAGCTGTGTCCTGGGCGTGCAGGCCTCTTGCCCTCTTCCCACTCATACTAGGCACCTGGGCTCAGTGGGCAAGGGGGGTTCTGCAAGCAGCAAGGATCCGAGAGGGGATCCTGGGGGAGGCTACAGCCAAGTTCTAGAGGCGAGAAAAGTCCCGAGACATCTGGGGGACAGTGGGAGTTTATACCCTGCTTTTATCGCACAGGCGGATCCAGACATTCATGTAGAAAACACAAGTGAGCCCAAAAACGCTGTTGCCCAAAACGATCCAGCGGGAAGTATTGGTTACCCTAAGGCAGCCCAGTTGCTTATTCAGAGCCAGTAGGTGAAGTGGGCATCTTCGAAGCCCAGAGAGAAGGACGCTTATTCCCTGACTAATCCAGGTATTCTCTGCCCTCCTTGTTCTCACCCCTCAATCTGTCCTTTAAAACTCGGAGCGGTTCAGAGAGACAGGACAGAAGGGAGGACTTCCCTCCCTGCCGCTGACCTCGGCACCATATATGGCTCCCCGATCCCCACCAAGAGTGATCCCTGAGCACAAGAGGAAGTCCTGAGCACTGCCAGGTGTGTCCTCAAAAACAAGCAAAACTGAAACTCTCTGAGAATATCGGTTCTTTGCTCCCAGGGTGGCCAGACCACCGCTGTCAGCCAGTCACTGAACAAGGGGCTCATTGAGGTCAGAGCTGGACCCACACGAGACTGTGCTTCTGGCTGGTCACCAGCTCACATCCCTCCACGGGTGCAGCTGTGCTCGTGTTTTAGTGGAATGAGACTCTCACACTAAACAGGGCAATCCA